TGGGTCGCAGACTCGGCTCGGCTCCCCCGGCCGTCGCGCCGCGGCCCTTTCATCTGCTCCACGTGAGGGGTTATCCCCGCCCCAATAGCGTCGTGACCCGCTCTCCCCTCCCTCCCCGCGCTCGACCGCCACGGCCTCCCCGGGGAGCGGGAAGGCGGGGCGGGCGCGCCTGCGGCGGGGGGCGGGACCCGACTGCCGGACACGCCCCTGCCCTCTCTCCGCCCCGGCCCCTGCCTGCGCTCCGCCCCCTCGCCTCAGCTCCGCCCCCCGCCTGCTGTCGACACTCCGTCCGACTGCTCTCGCCCCGCCCCCTGCCCAGGGTCTTGCTCCGCCCATTGTCCTCGCTCCGCCTCCTGTTGTATCTACCCCGCCCCTTCGGCCTCGCTCCGCCCCCACGCTCACGCTCCGCCCCTTCGTCCCGGCTCTGCCTCTGCGGCGCTCAGCCCTGGGAGGCCGACATTTCTCCTCGCGGATGCCAGAGTTCGCCGCGAATGGGAATCGGCTCTTGCTCCGTGGCGATGTTCGTTCTCTCTGGAGGTCCCACCCCTCCTAGTCCCGTGCAGGAATTAGGGCCTTCTCCTTCCCGGCTCCGCTCCAATCCACAATTCCCTGGAGCGGGACGCCTGCACCCGGCCCTCCACCCTCATCCCCACCTCCAAGATCAAATGGGGAAGGCCCTGGCGGTCTGGGGCCGTTTGCAGCTCCGCCATGCCGGGATGTGTCCGGTTCTTGCACTGGTGTCTCTTAGTTACTCTCAACATGGGTGGGGGGAGCCATTTAATCATTTAGATTTTGATGGAGTTCATATTTCTGCAACCCCAGAGACGATAACTCAAACACCCCACTCAAGAGAAGTTCTGAAACTATACAGTCTTGCGGTGTGCACAAAGCCAGAGGATTTCCAACGCCATAACCCTTTATGCACAGATTGATGGCTGCCAAATTAATGTACAGAAGACATGTGCTGCAGGGCTCAGGGGTTCCTAGTCCCTCAGAAGATAAACTTTCAATTCCTTGACCCTCTTTGGAACATGCCATTTCCTTTCTCATATAGTCCCCTATGAGAATCCAACCCTTCTTTCAAAATGCAGATTCAATTCCCACTTCGTGGGGTCTTTCCTTCTCTCAGCAGAATGGCTTTGTTCAGATATTCGCAAATATTTGGTTAGGATGATCTGCTTCTACTTGCTACCACACTCAAAACATTAAAAAGACCAAAAAAAAAGTAAAGAAAACTCATTGAGAATTGTCTTGGGTAAACCACTTACCAAAGTTACATTTTAAAGTAGTAAAACATATTTTCAAAATGTGGAATAGAAAATACATTTGAAAAAATCCACAGATCTGCATTGCCATACTTGGACCACCCAGAGCCTCTGTTCAGGAGGGAGGCGCCTGGAAAAGTAGGAATATGAGTATGGTGGCTTTTTAGTTTTTCCAGAACCAAGCCTAACTAGTGCTGACTGGAACTGGGCAACATCCGTCCTGACAATTGGCACCTCTTAGGTGGCACAGTCCAGTCCTTAAGGGGGAGATGAATTACGATTCCCTATCCATGACCCCTTGTATTATTAAAAATTCAAGGTCACCATCAACTGATGAGTAGATAAACAAATGTGGTATATTCATAAAATGGAATATTATTTGTCAAGGAATGAAGTACTGACCCACTGATGAACCTTAAAAACATTTTGCTAAATGAAAGAAGTCAATTATGAAGGACCATATAGTGTATGATTCCATTTATGTGAAATGGAATATGCAAATCTACAGTGACAGAAAGTAGATTAGTGATTGAAGGGACTAGGGGAAGGCAAGAATGGATAGTGACTGCTAATGGGTTTCTTTTGGGGGTGATGAAAATGTTCTGAAATTAGATAATGGTGATGTTTGCACAACTCTGTAAATATACTGAAAACTACAGAATTGTACACTTTAAAAGGTGAGTTTAATGGTATGTCAATTATATCTCAATAGAGTTGTTAAAAAAAATTCAGTCATTAGTGGTATTTTCATGCAAACACACACACATACATACACAGGATAGATACTGTGTGAGAATATTCTCTGATCTTTGAAGTCTTAGTTCAAATTTCACACCCTCAGCAAGGTCTACCTAGGCTACTCTTTTTAAAATCGCAGTGGGCACCCTGTCCCTGATCCCCAACCTCTCTCAGCCTGCCCCACCTAACCCCCTCCCCCATTCCCACTGTGGCATTTATCACCTTCTAATATACTAAATCATTTGCTTATTTATTTTTGTCTCTCCTCCACACCCAACATACACACATGCCAGAGAACAAAGTCTATAATGGCAAGGATCTTGTCTTATTCACTGACTTAGGCCAAGGCTGCCTGGCCTAGAGTAGGCACTCAATAAATATTTGTTGCATGAATTAATGACTAAATGAATGACTGATAAGCTCATCGTTGTGTATCCCTCCCATTTTGCAGACATTTGGGGCAGCTTGTTAACTAACAGCTGCACAGGACCACTGGGCTTCATGGGACCAAAATAAATTCTGAACGTGAAGGAGAAGAGCAACAGTCCTCCCTGCAGGGACTGCAATGAAAACCCAGATAAGGGTAAAAAAATAAGCCGGTTTCCATTTTTAAAACTCTGCTTCAAGAAAGATATGGCTAATAAGACACAGGCCAGCAACACAAAGGTAACATGATTCATCTCTCAGCAGCGTAAAGCTGTTTAGAAATGGAGGTATTTACTGAGTAATGAAATTTCACCAAAATCTTGTGGGCAGTAAGGGGAGATAGAACCTCAAATAAGAGATAAGACCCAGTAGCTAGGAGCAAGGACTGGATAAGCAAGCTGGATCAAGTGATAGGAGCAAAGAAAAGTAATGCACATTCACTATCTTTCATGACACATCCCTAGTAGACCATCCTGGGAGGAACTTATCTTGTTCCTTTCTCTACTTATCAGACTCAGATGAAAATAACTGACAACAGGTGCATCAGTATCGGTTAAAGCTGCCAGACCTTTGGCAAATCTCACTGACTTAGGCCAAAAACCACACGAAGCTTCAGGGAATTTTCTGCCATCAAAGTTCTATTTATATGACCAAATAGGGAAGGTCAGGGATTTCAAATTTGAAAACGTATGCTGTAGTGCCTAAAGAGACTATATCTGTGCTAAATAAAAACAGACATGGATATTCACTGCAGTATTGTTTTTAAGGATAAAAGGCAGGAAACAACCTAGATGTTCATCAATCGGGGATTACTTAAATAAATTATGGTACAACCATTTAATATATAATGAAATACATATTAAATAGTCATTAAAAAGAAGGAAGAAGTACTATATGAACTTATATAGAATCGTCTCCAATATACACTGCTAAGTGAAAAAGATGTGCATATGGTATGCTACAATGGGGGTGCAGTGGCAAGGAGACAACACACACATGAAGATTTGCAAACATTAACTATGTATGGAAGGAGACATAAGAAATGAATAAATGGATGCCTCTGGTGAGGCATCTGGATGACTAGGGGATAGGGAAAGGAGGGAGGCCTACTTTTCACTGTGTACCCTTTGTACCTATTGATTTTACTCCATATGCATATATTACCTACTCAAAGGTAATAAAATAAAATAGAGAGACTAACCTCCAAAATCAATGGATGATACTATTAGTTTTCTATACAAAAGCAGTAAACTTTATTGAACACCTACTACAAGACACTGGAATACTAAAAGGGATTGGCCTATAGTTATGGAAGATGTTAGTTTTAGCATTGGGGGAATCTAGGTAACAGGTACACAGGACCCCGCTCTACTATTTTTGCAGCTTTTTATAATTATTACAAATAGAAACTAAATTTT